TAATTAAAGTTATATAAAGAAAAGAAGCAAGAATTAAGTGTATTATATTCATCTATAGGATGAACCTCTTCCTTATGCTTTTTCGGTTGATGGTATAGAAATTTCAACCTCACTTCATAAAGATATCATTCAAGGACTTAAAAAATCAACAGAAGATGTGATAAAGATCGTGTACCAACCACAAGCAATCTTTAAAGTTAGAGCGGTGACTAGGTGTAGCTCTACTTTAAATGGTACATAAATTATGTAACTTGGGAAGATCAGAAGTGATAATCATTATTGACTATTTTCTTATTTAGGACATAAAGACGCAATGGTTTATACAAATACTGAGAGATCGATCTGTATTGGAGTTTTGGGTATATTTTTTTATTTTGACCTAACTGATTTAACGTAAATACTTGTCGCCCGATTATTAACAATAAAAACAAATAGCTCTTCAAGGGGCCTTTCTAGAGCACATACATATACTTCAACGTATTCCACAAGTTTCGCGAGTAGTTCCTGTGCGTACTGCTGAACAACTTGATTCAGTTGATGCCTTGATAGTACCTGGTGGAGAATCTACGGCTATTTCCCTAGTGGCTGAACGTTCTGGGTTAATTGAACCTTTACGTAAATTTGTACGCTCAAAGCCTACGTGGGGAACCTGTGCTGGGATGATCTTATTGGCTAACAAGGCCAATAGGACTAAAAAAGGAGGTCAAAGTTTAATAGGTGGATTGGATATAACCGTTAATAGGAATGAGTTTGGAAGTCAGGTAGGTTTTAATATGACACTTAATATTTAGAAAATTGATGATAATAATTTTCAATGTTATCTTTCAACAGATCGACTCTTTCGAATCTGCTATTCAAATTAATCATATCACAAGCTCATCCAGTGATCTTTTCCCAGCAGTATTTATTCGTGCACCCATAATTTCATCCATCAATTCACCTGATGTAGAAGTCTTGGCTCGACTGCAGTGTTCTACTGGAGAAACGGATGTATCTGCAATTGTAGCCGTTAAGCAGGGTCATCTATTAGCAACAGCTTTTCATCCTGAATTGACTAATGATGATCGGATACATGGATTTTTTGTAAAAGTTGCAATCGATTTTTTGAATGAAAAAAAAAGTTAAGACTTATTTAGTATACCATTTTATTTATCCTGCCTTAGACACCTATTAAGAAATTGTAATAATAATAATAATCCAGTGACCATTATAAAATGATAGAGAATTAAATAGGTAATAATTTCGCAACACTTTGGTAACTCTAATATTTAAATTTTATTTTTAAGTATATAGTAGTTTTTTTTTTAAAAAAAAAAAAAAATACTATTTTTATACTACGTGTATGTACACGGGCATTAATTAATATATATATAGTTTACAATATATATACAGTATAAATCAAGTTAATTTTTATAAACAAAGTTGGGTTGTTTCATATTAGAATAAGATTAGTTTTAGAGCTTAAAAAAGTGTATAATTTATATTAAAATTTTGAGTTTTTTTTTTGTTATAGTAAAACCTCAGAAATGTTGTATAATTAGGCAATTAATGTTTGTATATTAGTATATATGTCGCATCTGAAGTAGCCACCTAACTGTATCTGGAGTTGCTGCTTTAGAGCATCTGACTAGAATTACGCATGAAGATTCAATTTCAGGGCTTAATTCTAGTCAAGTGATACTCTATATATCTAAAGTAGCAACTCCAGATATATACACAAAAAATTGTTTTTTAAATTTTAATTAAAGAACCATTTTGAAAATTTTAACCATATTAAATTTTATATTTTTTTTAAGTTCTAAATCAATCTTACTCTATATATATATAATGATTTGAACATTTGTGCAAAATGATTTTTATTAACAAATTTTAACCTAAATTTTGCAAGAGAATCTTTTATGTTAGAACCCCAAAAGTAGCTTTATTAATAAAAATTTTGAAAATAATAATTTCCGTATACACATAGTATACAAGTAGAAATTCTCAAATTTATATACGTATTATATAAATTTACAGATTAATTTATAAGTATATATGGGCTGGTTGCTAAAAAAAGAACCAGATTAACAAAAAAAAGTTTTGCAAAAAGTTTTATATTATAAATTTTATAATAAATTACAGTATAAGAACATATAAACTTTAAAGAATTATACTACAAAATTTTATTAACAATATTTGTTCCTTAAGCAAAAATGTTTTTGGGCTAATTTTGGACTAGTTAAGCTTAAAAAAAAAATTTTAATAATCATCAATTTGGTTTTTAGTCTCTTTTCTTAGCATCTAGTTCATATATAATCAAACCTCTCTAAATACAACTCCCATAAATGCAATATCTCCCTAAATGCACGTTTTTGTCTTGGCTGTATGAAATTATTAGTGCTAAATACACATTCTATATTCTGTAAATGCAAGTTCACTCAAAAGATTTTTTATATTATACTAACCTCTCTAAATGCACATAGCCAATCAGAATTCAGTATAAATTATATTATACAAGCCTGCAGATTGAATATTAAAAGCTGCAATTTGATTGGCTCTCTTTAAATGCAAACATCCTTAAATACATGTTTTCGACTAGTCTATATATGTTGCATTTAGGGAGGTTAAACTATACTATATATATATAGTTACTTTTACAATAGTTATATAGCAAAATCAAATATTTTGCATCTATTGTAATATTGTAACTAAAACAAATATATAGTGTATATTGATAAAAAATTATAATTATAATAAGAAATATGGTGGTGATAGTCACCAGAGAATGATTAATCAATTAGATTGTATAACAATCACAAGACATGTTCTAATAGTTGCTGTTACTTATAAGTCAAATGAGTTGACATACTAAATTTTATATGTAAATTTTTATTAAAATTTAATTTATTCAAGAAAATACATATAAATCTTTCTTGAAACTTTAAATATATATTCTTTGTCATTTTAT